TTTTTTTTTCTCAGCAGAAGCAAAGAGCTGAGGTCCGGTAGTTTATTTGTTTTCCTTGTGTACCACTGAATTTCTCTCATATCTTTGCCACACCTGCATATTTCAGTTACATTAGTTTAATCATGGAAGTTAGAGCCAAAATGGTGCAGGAATTTCCAGTAAGTTCAGCTAAAGTTAGGAAGTGATTAATGAATGACCATTATCCTCAGTTGTGGCAGATGTGTGGGAGCTGCAAAGGTGGTCCTAAGCAACTTTGTGCTCCCTTGACCCTTGGTCACCTGTACAATGAATCAGTCCCACAGCACAGAAGCACCATCAAGGCTGTTACAATTTATGCTGACTGCTAACAGTCATAAGAGTTTATTACAGTGGCTAGGGATTACTGACAGTTTAATCCATGCTTGTTTTTCCTTGGCAGTACTCTCTACATCAGCCATAGGAGGAAGTGCAATAAAAGTTCTATTATGCTAATTATATGCTACTGGAAAATTGCCTACCTAGCTAAGGAGTGGCTGCACCACAAAACAGTTCTAGTGCATCTGAAAATGGGGCTATGAAGATACCACTGGAGTAAAAGTTGAATAAACACTGCAGATAGGGAATGTCTACATGTGCAAATAAGCATGACTAAATTTAATGTGCATTAAGCTAATGCTCATTAAGCAATTTTTTTGCCAGGTGTCTACACATGCAGAGACTTGGGACTAAAGTTAGTGCACTTAGCACTGAAGTTAATCCCAAGTCCCTCCAGTCCTGCTGTGTGCCCCTGTGGCCACTAGGGGGAGCTCCAGCCTCCAGCCACATGGATGCCAGCCCTTGGCAGCCATGTTGAAGCCAGCACCAACTGCTAGCACTTGGAAGCACTGATCCCTACCCAGCTCTTTCCCTGCCCTGGAGTCCCATGCCCATCACAGGGGCAGCACACTACAGCTCCCTTCCTGCCCACCCTGCCTCCCCATGCCAGGGCTGCCCCTGTCCTTACCCTTGCCAGAGGTGCCCAGTGCTCCGCTGCTCCACCCTGGCCCCTGCCAGCAACAACCAGTGCCCTGCACTGCTGTTGGCCCTGGTGATGGCTCTACTGACCCCAGGAGGCCTCACCATCTGGGTCCCAGGAGAACCATGCACCTCCTAGTGGGGTCCAGGACACTGACTGCAGGAGGCCTTGCCCAACCACCTCCTCCTGCACTCCCTGTTCCAGCCCACCTGGCCTGCCACCCACACAACACTTACCCCATGGCCACCCCCAGCACCACTCTCAGGACACACACATCAGTGAAACAAAAAAACTTTATTGCCCTCACAATCCACAATCCCATCCCTCCCCCCTCAACAAATAGTGCCCCTCCACAACCCTCCCCATCTACCAACAATACAAAACCCACTTACAAGAGGCAAACTGTATACAGGAGACAAACTATATACATGATGCAAATATATACATATTGAAAATGATTTACAATATTTTGACTGTTCATGCCCAATGGAGGGGGGGGAGAGGCTATAAGGGAGGGCCCAGGGGGCAGAACCCCAGGGCAGGTACCCAGAACCCCAGCCCCTGGATGTTCCCCCACAGGTCCAGGTGCTGCAGCAACCCCAGCAGGTGGTGGTGACCTCATGTGGAGCGGGGCCTTCAGCTGCATGGTGCATGGATGAATGGCAGGGCTAGCTCCAGGTGTGTGGCAGCAGGTCCAGGTCAGGGTCCAAGCCAGGTGTCTGGCAGGCAGGAGGTACCCTAGGATCTCTTCCCAGGGCCAGGTGGGAGCTGGCTGCAGGGCACTGGGTGGGACGCAAGAGCCCTGTGGGGCCATGGGTGGTGGCCGGGCAACAGGGGGAATGTACATGGCTGCCAAGGCCAGAAGGGTCTCTGTGGCCTGGCAGTTGGCATCCCCCTGCTGCTGGATCTGCTCCAGGCACTCCTACCCCAGGGCCTCCATGCAGGCCCAGTGCTCCCACTGCACCTGGTCCTGTACCTCCCGCCGGGTGACGTCCTCTGTCCACCAGGTCTACTCCCATGCCTGCTCCCTCACCTCCCACTCTTCCACCACTGCTACCAGATGCTGGAGCAGCCAGGTCTGGTCCCTGGTGTGCTGCTGGCACAGCTGACACACATAGACCACTCCAGCAATGAATGGGGGCAACCCTGAGGTGGCATCCCCACTGAGGCTGGTGGGCTTTCCTCCACATCCAGATGTTGGCCCTGCAGAGGCAAGACACATAAGTCTTTTGTGAGAGTGTATAACATTTCAGAGATAAGATGCTCTGAACTAATTAGGGGTCGGCCATGCACAGGTGCCCAGGGACCATAGTAAGTCAGCCTGGCAGGCCTAGACTCTGGCAGCCACTGGCTGACTTACTGGGTGCTGGCCGCAGACAAGCTGTCTCCTAAACCCCCTTCCCAGGGCAGACCAGGCTAGGCTTATGGCAGCACCTGCTGCCGTGGCTCCAGACCCCACTCTCCCGTATGTACCTGCAGGCCAACCACTCTGCTGTGCTGCTGCCCAGCCAAAGGCACCCAAGTTCGGAGTACATGGGGCTCCCAGACACCTGGGACAAGGGACTATCCATGCCCCTGCCCTCCCCACAGGGGGCCTCTCTGTGGAGGTGCCCTAGGGCTGCCCCCCATGTCACAGCTGTGCCCCAAGTGTGCCCCTGCTATGTGTGCCCCAGTCGGTGCACGCATTTCTTCAGGCTGAGGGGTGCCTGAGCCACTATGCCCTGCTGATGATGATCTTCCTGCTGCCTCAAATATACCTGCACTCCTGGTTTGGGACCCTGAGCTACAATGATGCAGAGGGAAAGCCCATACTGCCCTGCAACCTCTGCCACCACCTGGAGGGCTACTCGTCACAGCACTACACATCCCTGCCCCACACTACTGAGGAGAAAATCACCACCAGTATTGATGCCTTCCTCAGCATGTGAGAGGCTCATGCCCACCCAGCTGTAGGGACACAGACTGCTGAATAAAGTTCTGAACTGTGTCCTGCCTCTCTGCATGCTGTGGGTTGGGGAACCTGGGGCCAGGGGACTGTGGGTGGGCCAGGCATGGAGTAGGAGGGCCCTTCCCCAGTGTGGGACTTATCATGTGTCCAGGGTTGGCAGCTTGGCGCAGGCCTCCCTGTTGGTGATGGCATCTAACTGCACCTGGTGTCCATATCCTGCAATGTGCAGCAAGCTGGCACCCAGTCAGGGACCCCGCCAAGGAGGAACTGGCACTGCTGACAGCTGGTGGGGATGTGGCTGGCTGCTCCTTATGCCAGGGTCTGGGGCTGCACCAATGGCAAGACAGCCACTAGGCGCAGCTCCCAAAGCTGCCAGTGCATGCAGCAGCTGGGGAGGAGGATGGGGCAGGGTGCTGAAGGCCTGAAGTCCCCTCCACTGCTGACATATCACCAGAGGAGTCAGGGTGGGATGGGGACTCAGGCAGGCCACCCCTGCTGGTGGCACTTGCAGGGGTGTGGCCTAGCTCCTGGGTTGCCAAAATGTAGGTTAGCTACTGCACAAAGGGCATGGACTTTGGGGCATGACCAGACTGATGACTGAAGTTGGTCACAGCCATCCTCTGTGCCCACAAGACCTTGACCATTACACAACACTGCCACACCAACTAAGAGTTCCCTTGATCCCACATCCTGCCCAACAGAGCTTCATAAATGTGGGTGTTCAAGCATCCACCCCGCATAAACTGCCTCCACACATCGGCACAGCCCCAGAGTGCCACAAGGTTGTGCTCCTCATCCCGGGTCTAGTTGGAGACCCTGGTTGTTGGCACAGGCATGCTTACATGGGCAGGGCCAGGACTTAATGGGGAGGAGGGCGACAACATTGTCATCCCATGCTGGCTGTCTGGGCCCCTGTACGGCTGGCCTTGCATGGCCATCCATGGATGGCTGACAGCAGTGGTAAGCAGAGGGGCACAGCCAGGGACTGGGAGCCACACAGCAGAGACACTTCACCACAGGACATGGAAGTACAGGAGAGAGCTGGGAGTGAGGAGTAGCAGGGGGCAGGTGCTGGTCCTGTTGGCAGAGACAGCCAGGCAACAGCCCTGGGGGGGGTCTCAGGCTGGGCAAGAGGTGCAGCAAGCTGCAGCTATTTGTAACACTCACCTGTGGCCAAACAGCAGCTCTGGATTGGGACAGGCCAGGCAGAGCTGGCTTTTATAGCCTACAGCTGCTTTTATGGCCTATAGCTAGGGACTGTCAGAGAGCAGCCCAGCTCTGGGGGAGGAGAGGTGGGCAGCCCCCTAGGCCAGTCCCCTAAAGTTAGTGCTGGATTGCATCTACACATATGTTAATGAGCTTTAACTAATTATGCCTAAATTCAACATTTGTAATGCGTATTAAGGGCATGCATTTGTAGACACATGGCCTTAATGCACATTAAATTAGGCTGATGCAGATTAATGCATCTCAGGTGGACGTGCCCATGGAGTGCCTGTAAAACAGATTATAGTAATTTAACCTTTGTAAGACATCCACATACTTAGTTTCTATAGAGAGTTAAGGTAAAGCAAAAGTTGACAAAATGCCTACTGTTTAAAGCTGACCCTGTATCCAGTATTGCCTGAGTTGCCTGAAATGCTGCAGAATTGCTTGCTAAAATGGGGAAGTCAAGCAAGAAATCTTGTCAGAACATGGGAAAAAGGATGCAATGTAATGTTGCTCAGGATCTATTGAGTTCCTACCCTCTTAGTATTAGAATCCCTGGATCATCAGAATGGTAGCTTATCAAGGAGTGTCCTGCTGTCATTGTTGAAACAAAGTTACGTTTCAAATGGCCTTCTTTAAATGAGTAAGTAACAAAAAAAGTGTTATATTTTGCCCATGTAATGCTGTGAATGCAAATCTCCTTTTGTTTTGATTTACTATTTTCCTTTTTAAGGGTTGACTGGACTGGTGTATTTACTAGAATTGATTTTACAAAGAAAGCAATCTAAAGTTTCCTAGATACCCTCGCATAACTGTACTGTACATAAACACTGCTTATCTGTTCTGCAGGAAGAAATACGTCCCCAGTTTGAAGCCAAGTACTCCAAGAAAGAACGGATGAACCCCATATCTGGAAAGCCAGAGCCTTATCAAGCATTTGCAGACAAATGCAGCAGACTTATTGTTTCTGCATCTGGAATATTTTTTATGGTTTGTGAGATTTAATTTCTTTACAAATTGCTTGAAATACAGTCTTATATCTCTGTTGAGAACATGGAGATGCTGGATGAGATTGTTTGGCACATGTAGGAGCTTAAGATGCTTTTGCTGAAAGGCACTGTTAGTGAGAGACCCAGATTAAAAAGTGCTCTCAGGGCTCGTGGTTAGAGTCTTCAAGAGTCATTGTTACAATGCATGACAGAGGTCTAGAGAAAGAAGTATTATTTTCATTGTTAATGGGAATTTATACAGTTCCGTCCAAACAGTGCTTTCTCCACAGTGCAAAGCTTAAAACAACAGTGATTTTTTTTTTGCCATGCTGCTGGGCTGTGTTTGTTTTCTACTTCTTCTTGAAATGCTCACTGTAGCCTCTGAACTACTGAATCTATTACTTGCTGGCAGCCCACCAACAGCAGTGTGTCTAAATCACAGTGGGTGTCATATTCTAGCCCTAGTGGGAATTATTAATGCTTTTCCAAGAGGTTTGAAAGCAGAATATAACAGCCTCAACACCTGTGATGATACAGGTAAGTGATCTAGACCGGAAAATTTCCATTTAAATTGAATGGGAGGTTTATTTCTGGGCAGCAAAGCAAAGACTTAGGCTGGACAGGCAGAAGGAATATTAAATCAGGAATGCTCATTATGTATGATAGATGGGCAGAGAAAGGACCAAAGGATGGGCAACAGCTTTCAATAACTAAGTTAATGACTTCAGGTGCCAATTTTAAGAGATTTCATTTGCTCGGCGTTGCCCTCCTGATGTCCTCTCTGCTTCACAATTGACTTTCTAAATATAACAAAATGAGCACCTTTTTTTCCTCCAGTTTTCTCCACTGGGTGGAGAAAGCATTTTTTCCTCCTCCTGCTCCAAGCCAGTCTTTAACCTTTTTTCAGAGAGAGGCCTATGTTCTGTCTTTCCAAATAGAAACTGTCCGCATCCTGCACAAAATAATCTCTGAAGTGATGTATCTGTCTTCCACAGGTGGGGAAGAGATTGGAAGGAAATCACCATTTTTATGTGAACAATCTTTCTATTGCTTTATAGTTGAGCTTCAGTTAAAAAATGCATGAAAGGGGGCTCTGCTAGTGTAAATTAATATACTAAAGTTTGTGGGGTAAAGCTGATTTACTGGTACATCAGAGGAAATACCAATTCCTAATGTGTAGAAGAAATGGTCAAAGACCTTACTAAGTTAAAATCAACGTACTTTTGTCCTCTCTGGAAAGGATTAAGTCACAAAAATCTAGGGCTGCTTGGTACCTGAATGAGAACCTCAGCACTGGATTTTAAAGCACTTTAATATATATGCATTGAGTTTACTTTTGGTTTATTTGCATTGCATTGTGAATTATATGCATTGAGTTTACTATATGGTTTACTTTTACTGAATGCATCCATTATATAAACCCTAAATATTAATGCTAATCCCTTGAATTATTGTTATGAGGAAGAGGGAAGAGACAGAGGTCTAGTTTTAAAATGAAAATCAGAGAATGATAATTTGATACATCCATTAGCATAACTGCTAAAGGTGATATTGTAGCTTACGCTGTGTGATTTAAATATTAAACTCTCTCTCACAGCCATGGCCAAAGCCTTACTCCCTTTATGAATGTTTACTGTGCACTGTGTTTTAGTGGAGGTTAAGGTCCTTAGGCCATTTAGTCTGATGTACTGTATCTCACAGGCCATTATGTTTCACAGTTATCCCTACTGAGCTGCCCGTTGTGGGCTGCATAAAAGCATTTCTGTCCTCAGGAGACTAAAATATATGCCACTGGTCAAAAATAAAAAGAAACTCAGGTGTCCATGGTGCTGACAGTAGGAGGGGACTGCTCAAGTGAGATAGGAGAATCCAATCTATTTTTCTAACAAAGGAATCATTTTGAAGTCTTTAATTTTCTTGCCCTTGAAAACTGACAGGAATCAATGTCAAGCTCTCCCTGTCAGTATTCATGAATGCTTATCACCGTGGTATCTAAACTCTGTACGTGCACTAAAAACAAGATGAAGCAGAAAGCCTACCTTAGAATAATAGGTATGTTTTGGTTTTGTGATACAGGTGGATTACATTAGGCTGATAAAAATATACAAAGACTGGCATAAATACCCCAAATAGGGCATTTCTTAAGTCTCCGAATCTGAAATCTGTGTTCTAAAATTCTGGCCACATTCTAGTAGTCAGTTGGATTGAGCATACAATGTGCCCAACTGACTTTCCTTTTTAGAGTCCATTATTAAAGTAGCTTAGGTGCTGCAACATGCAGCATTGTGGCACATCTATATATTAGGTCCTTGGTCCCTAGATTGGGAACCATAACTCTGAATTCATGCCTTTCCCTATAACAGTGTTGTTAGGTAGCCAGCCACCATGCAGAGTGGAGAAACTGCTTGATGCTATCCAGCAGGAAACATTGAGCATAGTGGATGTAGCTTATACCCCACCCTGTACCATAGTATAGGTTCCTTATTCATGGCATCAGCAAAATACTGAGCCTCCTAGTTTTGAATTGTAAAAGGTACAGAGATCAAGAGCAGCATGAATCCTTACTACCAGTACCTACCTTTAATTATAAAGTAGGCTGGAGTGTGTAAAACACACACACACACACACACACACACACACACACACATATTTAAATCCAATGGCTAAACACTCTAGTGGGATTTGGTGTATGGGTCCTTGCCCTATTCAAGTAAATCGTAGTTGATTCATCCCTTGAAAATTGTTCTTGAAGCAGAAACAGATTAAATATTGTTCCTGGACTAAAATCCCTGAATCTGTGAGCATTAAACACATTTCTCCATATTTTTACTGTATAGTAGTACCCCAGAATGTACTAACAAATTCTGAATTGAACAGAGGAATCCTTCAGGCAAAAGTAATGCTTTCCCATGTTATTTGTATGCACATAATAATAGTTGTAGGTTGGGGTCAGCAAAATAGTTTTAGCTTCAATTTTTACAATGAACAGTTTTTAATTTAATTTAATTAATATTAAAAATGAAGTCACAATACCTTTTTACTATTAGAATAATATTATTCAGGTTGCTGTGACTCCTGACTGCTGACACTCTTCTCATAGTTCTTCTTAGGGCCAATTGGCTCTCTTATTGGAGCCAGTACTGAGCCCACTTATTGGAACCTGCTCCCATCCTATATACACACTTCTCCTCCAATCCTAGAGCTGTCCAGCCTCAAGCCAGTTCCAGTGTAAACCAGAACAACCTCAAGGTTGTCCTGGTTTACTTTGCCTGTCTATCCTTTCTAATAAGCAGTGATCATCAGAGGATAGAGCTTTCTGAGCCATATTCCTTTTTCCTGTGTTCTGGATCCAGGCAGGAGGTGATAAAAAAGTTTCTAACAGGTCTCTACTCCACATACAACTTTACTCATCAAAAGGCAGTCCTCTACTAACTCAGGAAGTAGAGTGACTTTAGTGTTGCTCTGTGCCACCAGAGTATCAGCAAGGAATCCGATGATCTGGCCGTATATGCTCGCACAGATTTTAAGCTTCTCTTTTTCGGGTTTCTTTATACTTGGATTATGCCATCCTTTGAGAAATCACTTCTGTAAATAAAGAATGTAAACATGACTTGATTAGCATGAAATGTCCTCAGAAAAGATTCAGCTGTATTTTCTAATTGGCTATCACAAAGTGGTCAGGTTTAACTACACACTCATGGTCTGCTAACACACCTGGACATTCTTAATATATGTTTGGCTGCTACTGAAGACATAATGGCATAGCTAAATTATAATGTAGACTGAAGACTGAATCACCCATGTTAATTCCCAAATGTTTGACCCCCCTCCCCCCTAAGTGACCAGTTCAAATATGATAAAAACATTAGTTAATTGCTATTTAATGCTCAGGTTTTGCATGTGGTGATTTAGTGGTCTCAGCTCTGATGCAATGTTCCCACAGTATAATTACAATTTTTGTTGAAAGTCTCCTCTGGGAGGATATTAACAATGAGACTGGATCCATTACCATCCCTCTGTAGCCAACACAACATATGGGAATGAGTGTGAGCATCATGTCTAGCCACTTTTGAATCCCCAGCCTGAATGACAAGGTTCCCATATTCAGGTAGGTCTACAAGGGACAAGCTTTGGCAGATGTCTGAAGTAATGCACAATCTCATGCCTCTAACCACCTTTGAGGAGAACATCAGCATAAAACCCAATGCACCATGTAAACACTCAAGTTTGATGCATAAGTCTCATACTGCCTGCCTATAGAGAAGTGAGGTTTCATCCAAATAAAGAAAACTTTAGAGGTGAAGAACCAGCACCTTTCAGTGGCATAAAACATTTGTATTTTCAAGAAATTGTTTAAATTTAGACATTATTTTGATCAGGTAATAAAAATATTTTATGTTACAGGAAGTGGATCAGAAATCAGAGATATTATTTCTGGTAAAACTTTTCTCTGAAAAACAGATTGATGTAGTTTCACACCTATCACGTGTGTTTTCAGATTGTTATAGTCTTGAGAATTTCTGGAAGAAATTCCAGTTCTGAGGAAGTTTGGGATTTCTTACTTGGTTTTTTTTTTCCCCCCTCTTTAGATCTGTGTGGTGATTGCTGCTGTTTTTGGCATTGTTATTTACCGTGTTGTGACTGTCAGCACTTTTGCTGCCTTTAAGTGGGCTTTAATCAGGAATAACTCTCAGGTTGCAACTACAGGGACTGCAGTGTGCATCAACTTTTCCATCATCATGCTACTGAATGTGGTAAGTAATACTAAGGAGAACTAACCAGGATCTCAAGTAAACCACCTGCAGGTGCTTGATCCATGTATGTCCCAGTCTGCAGGCTTCTGAATGCATTCCTGAATGAATTCCTGCCAACTTGAATAGGAATTCAGTGCACTCCACACCTAAGTGTCCACTCTGTTTGTGTTATTAGCTTATGTGAAAATATTTAAAAGTTATATTTCTGTAAAGAGGCATATTCATTCTAGTTGCTGTGACAGTGGATTTTGGAAGCCAGTCTTGGCAGGCAAGTGAAAATTCAAATGAGTGTCCAAGGTGCAGGGCGCAAAGGCAAAGAGGCAGGAGCTGTGAAATAGGAAGCCCTAGCCAACAGCTAAATTACCCATTAATACCAACAGTTACTTCACAGGTGATTGTTAACACCTGTGAAGTAAAGAACAATAGGTCATTGATGGACTGTTGACTCCCTGCAGCCTGCAGGAGGGGGCAGTGTCCCAGATTTCACATTGTCCCATATGGTCACCCTACTTAAATGTGCTTTAGTGGGAAGAGGAAGAGAATGTTTCTTTTTTCTTTCTAAATAAAGTTGATCAAAGTCAGTTCTTTCTTATATCAGAACAAGCACTTCCACCCTACATGTGAAAGCACCCTAAAAATATATATACTTCATAAGGAGAGGGTAAGATTGGTTGAGTAGGTTTGAATTCATCAGTTACTTCTAGCCTTCACAAGATCACGGTTAGATGTTCTCAACTACTACATTCTAGGAAAGGAGACTTATGGGATGGGGGGGAGGGGGAGGAGACTGACTTTCAATTACATGTAAACTGATTTGAACCCAGTCATTTAGTAAAGGAAAAAATTGCCTTGATAAAAGTCCCAGTTAAAAATATCAGAATGGGGAGTAGAGGGGGAAGGTGAGGGCATGAGCCTCAGATGTTAAATATGTCTTCTGACATCTGCTTTTGGCCAGAAGATGGTTTCCGTTTCTTTCTGATGTGGATTTTGCTGTTATCTCTGTCTTTGTCTCCTGGAGGTTATGTTATTGCAATACATAGAGGCTACCTGCTCAAACCCTTCAGAAATTGCAGCTATTGCAAAATGTTTTGATCTACTTATTCTGTACTGTTTCTCAAGGAAAGCATGCTATTCTTCCATGAGTGGCACTCTCTATCCAGTTGATTTTTGGCAGAAACTTAAGATATAAATTTTGAGCAATGGATTTCTAAGTGCTGGCTACTCCGCAAACAATTCATAAAAATTTGCAGTCACCTGAGATATTAAAGAGAACTCTTCAAGACTTACAGGAATTCATTTATCTTGTGTACCCATAACTAGGCTGAGTAACCTTTAGAAGAAATTGTAAAATATGTCCACCATCCTATGTGTTTTCTGAGGGAGAGAAGGAGAATAGTGACTAAAAGATTGGAAAGAGGGATAGTACGAGGGAGCAAAGGGCATTATTGAACTGGGAAGCTGTTTTGAGAACTTTTAAGGGTATTTTTATGGGGGGGGGAAAGAGGGGCAGTTAAGATTATGAGTCCAATCCTATTCCACATATTAGATGCCTCAGTGGACTGTGGCACTTAATTGTAATCCTGTTCCACCTATCTTGAGTCCCTGAAAAAATGTTAGCAAAAGGTGAGAAGGGTCTTCCTCCTCCATACTATTTTTTGTAATTTAGCCTAGGCTAGGAGGGTGGTGCTTTTATAAAAGCAGATATGATACCAGTTTTTCAGAGGCTCAAGCAGGATGGAATAGGGTTGTACTTAGGTGTCTTTAGTTGGGATAGATTTTGGCTCTGGGGCTTTGGATTTATTTTTTTAAAATCAGACTGGCAGAGCTGGGGACTGGGATCAGGATCATGGAGTGGTGACAGTGTGGGGCTGCGGTCCAGTGCAGAACCATAATCCATTCCCTGTGCACTCCTGCAATGGGCACCATTTTCATGGGCAGGGGTGTGCAGGAAGCAAATCACAGTTCTGCCTGGGCCCTGGCTCTGCTCTGTCACTGAACTGCAATCCTAACCCCTGTCTGCCAATCCTACTCCCTGATGCAGCTACCTGCCCACCCATGGCCCCATCCCATCTGCCTGGCTGCATGCCCTGCCCACATGGGTCCCATAGCCAGTTTCCATGAAGACCCCGGGATTGTGGGGTGGTGACAGCATGGCCCCAGAGCCAAGAGAAGAGTCATGATCTGCTTCCTGCACACCCCTGCCCATGAAACCAGCACCCATCATAGGGGCATGTGGACAACAAATCACAGCTCTGCCCTGGTCCCGGCCCTGGCCCCACATTGTCATTGCCCTGTAATCCTGATCCCAGCCCTGGCCCTGCCCACCTGTCCTGTTCCGAGACGGTGAGATTTTCAGCTTTATTGGACATAATTTGGTATAGTGCAGGGGTGGGCAATTATTTTGGCTGACGGGCCACTTAGGGAGTTTTGGTGAGCTGTGGCGGGGGGTGGGGGTGGGGAGTGCTGACCCAGCCCATGATGTCTCACTAAAACTCCCTAAGTGCCCCTCCAGATAAAATAATTGCCCACCCCTGTTTTAGAGGGAACTTAAGCTTTTAAATTTATTTTTTAGGGTAGAAACAGATGTTGCATTTGTGTTGCCATAAAAATTGTTATGGCACAAATGCCAAGCAAATGGGCATCCCTACCTTTGGTCATGTCACATTAATGGAGCCACAAAAGGTATGAATAAATTCTGCCACTTTATTATGACCAATTTCTATTTGTTCTGTGGCAGGAGAGTGCAGGCAGTTTGGAGCCCTGGAGCTGCCTACACTCTCCAGCTACCCCAGGCAGGTGCTCTGGGTGCTTGAGGAGCCCCATCCTGTGCACTTGCCTAGTGTTCCCTACTTACAGAGATGCCCCAGGCATGTCTCTGAAAGCAAGGAAAGCTTGCATCAGTCCTGGCATGGAGGTACAGGATGTAGAGAATCCAAAGCACCGTAAGTCTCCATGCCCAGACCCATTCTGACCAGCATGGAGGCATGGAGTGCCAAGGACAGACAGCCATGCCCCAGCCATGCCCCATCCCCACACTCAGCCATGCTTCATGTAGCAGCATGGATCAGCACAGGTCCCAATGTGGGGCTCCAGGAAGTTCCCAGCTCCAACACTACTCCATAACACCCCATGCCAGGACCTGCACTGGCCTGTGCCTTTTTGTAAAGCACAGGTCAGTGGGGTCCTGGCAAGGAGGCACAAAGAACCATGGGAGCTGGGGGAATCCTGGGGCCCAGTCCCTCCATGCCAGGACCCATGCTGACCAGTGCCTCTGGGTTGGCATAGGACTTGTTCCAGAATGGAGGCACAGAGCCCCAGGAAGTCCCTAGTGCCTGCACTACCCCATGCCTCTTGCCAGGACTCTAGCCAGCCTGTGCTTCATGCAGATTTATGGGTCAGGGTAGACTGCAGCACAAGGTGGCGTGAAGCCATACAGGATCTAGGTAATCCCCAGTGCCCAGTGCTTCCACATGGGGACCTACACAGACTTGTGCCTCTTCCTGAATCATGGGTCCTGGTGTGAGCAATGCAGGATCCCTGGTACCCTGCACCTCCTGGCCAGGACCTGTGCTGGCCTGTGCTTCAGGTGGAGGCATACGTCAGTGTGGGTTCCTGTGTAAGGCACAGGTCAGTGCAGGACCTGACATGGAGCAGCAAGGGGTACAGAATCTCCAGGCAGGGGAAGCATATTGCCCCTAGTCCCGTTATCAGGCAAAGGGCCTAGTGTGGGACAAGGAGGTCATTTGTAGACATGCTCACCATTTTCTAAACCATGTTAACTGATCACATCACACAGTTTGAATCAAATTTCAATTCAAATTAAGGGTTAACAGATGATCATTGACCATCATGGCAGGAGGCACTGGCTGTACAGTCTATACACTTGACAGCCCCTTAACAGACCCAATTTGTAGCCTCTGTGTGGGAGTGTATGCCCAATTAGGAAGCAATAATAAGCCTCTGTAAGCACTGCTACTTTGTTGCAAACCTACTAGCAATTTATCTAAAGTGCTGTTCCAGAAGCTGTAATGGGTGCAATTGACCTGATGTTGTTGGCACATCTGACTTTGTAAAGGTTTTGTACCTGATAGCCGCTGTTGTGTTCCAAAAACCCAAATGAGTTTTTCCTGCAGGGACTGATATTTGCAGTACTTATCTGAGTTCCTACGGACTGTTTTCCCTAAAAGCAAGTGCCGTATATACATGTTAATTAATACAGTTTTAACTGCCTGTTTTGGACTGCCCTAGTCTGCATTAACTTTAATCATCATTCAGTGAGGATTAATTAATTAGGACTAGAGCAAATTGTAATTTGGACTATAGATGGCCACACATATATTGTGATGGCTATAGTCCAGATTAAACCTAGAAAAACATTATGTCTATAAAAAGCTGGAGTCATGTGTGTCTCCCAGTAAAGTGGATCAGCTGTGGTGGTCATGTCCCACCACAGATGATCCGCTTTTATTTGGTGATGTGTGTTTCTACCCTTACTTTCTACTTTGGGGAGAATAGAAAACTAATGGACATGTCCTAAAATAACTTATGGCAGTGAAACAGTTGAATCTGCTACTAGATGTAAAATGAGAAAAATGAAGAAAGGCAGCAGAGAGATTATTAATATAAACAGAACTTGAGGTGAGAAAACACGATAGTGTTTATAGCGGTGTGGGAATAGCTGCAAGGCAGCATGAACTGCAGTCAAAGATTCTAATACAGCTTTACAACCTGTCAAAGAATAAGCATCAGGGGAAAACTCTGAATTGCAAGTAACTTTTAGGTAGGATATTCCAAAAGGTGGAAGGATAATACAATTATTCACATTAATTACAAGGTTAGATGACCTTCAGGTCTAATGTGTCCCAGGTAATTATGCAGCCTGAACTGACAGCAGTCACTAGCTTTATCTTAGATAATAAATCCTGTTAATATCAATAATACTGTGCATAGAAAATATGAATGCTGAATAAAATGTAATTGTAAGTGGAGCCCTTGGGATTAGTAGTGATGAACTGCAGCAGCAGATAATCAGATCCAAGCCCTGTTAACAGAATCTCAAACACTGTCTGACTGATCTGGGAGGAATAACAATGAAACATAATCTTGATACACAGGCATGCAGGTCATTGTGGGCATATTCAATACTAAGATCAGTGTATAACCCATGCATTTATCATGCTCCATATAGAGATGCCTTTAAAGCTGGACAAGGGATCAGTTTTTGAATTACATGAAACAAGAATTAAAATTACCACTTGAATTCAGAAAGGCAGAAAGCTCTTGAAAGGGAGGAGTGTCATTAATAGCTATGATAGCGTTTGGGAGGAGTAATGTTTCTAGGCAGTAGGTTTATAACTGACTACATTTCATTAACCTTTGGTGAAGTCAGTTGACATGAAAAACCCCGCAATGGGTACACACAAGACCCAAACCTGAAAGGTGGTAAACCCTTCTAAGAGTTGAAGAGTATTCTCAACTCCCATCAATGTCAAAAGGAGTTTAGTATACTCATTGACTTGAAATCTCTGGCCTCACATAGTCTCTTGAGGCCTAAAAATATAGTGTTTTGGTTTTAGGATAACAATGAATATTATGCATATTTGTAGTGCTGTTCAAAAGTAAATAAATGCATAAACCAAGATTTATTAATAAAATAAATTAACAATTAATTGGAGAAGTCTGAAAAGGAGTCCTAGTACCATAGGCAAGTGTCACTTTGAATTTTGAAAACTTCAATGGTTCTGAATAGCCAAATACATTTTAGTGATAGTGAAGAAGAAAGGATTTCTTTGCGCTCCCCTGCCTCCCCAGTGACCTTCTTTTCCTTGACCAAAAAGAAAAAAACAAGGTCTACTTTTCTTCAGATTAATTTTCTTGACAGTCAAGTTTTCCCCAGTTTTCTGTGTCTCCCCATAATTAAACAACCTTTTTCAGCCCAAAGACATTGCTAAATTTTTTATTCAAATTCATGCACTTTTTCATTTCAATATAATAGCTTTATAAACTACTTAAGCTTCCTGTACTGCACCTGTAATGAGGGGAGAAGCAGGGGAGGGAAAGGGGGAATGATGTCTCTCTTTTGTAAATCACTTCTGTGGCTGAAAAATGCTAAGAACTAAATATTATTTATCTTCATATTTTGATCACATAATTGTAATGTCACAAATATTATGGGAATATCAGCTTTTAAAGTGCAGTAACAGTTATTCTTCCTAAAAATATATGTCTATGTTTTTAATGAGGTCTAAATGACTTGTTCACATATTAAGAGGTTTTCTCATTTGTTGCAGCTGTATGAAAAAGTTGCTCTTTTACTGACAAATTTAGGTAAGTGGTGATAAATCTGAAATTGAACAATATTGCATTGGTCAGTTTTTTGTTTGTTTATACTTCAAATGCCAGCCAGCGCGCTATTCTAAATGGGGAGAGTGAAATGCTGGCCTTCTTGAAGCCAGTGGATTTTTACCACTGACTTCATAGAGGCCAAGATCTCACCTTGAACAATTATCTCTGCCAAATCAAAAAAAGACCACCTTGGTTAATCTAATGCAGGACTATCTAGCTTCTAGATCTAGACAGCAGAGGGACGCAAGAAGTGTGTGCTACAGGCCCAGGGGGCCAGCACTCATCAGCCTCACTCCCTCACACCATGTGCACAGCCCGACTTACTCCCACTACACAGCATCCCGATCCCAGCTACGTGTGCTATGTAGGCAGCCTGCCCTGCCACGCACATAGCACCCATACCCCCCTTCTCGGCTGTGCGCATTATGCAGCGGGGACAACCTGCCTCTCTTCTTTGCTGAGCACAGAGTGTGCAGCCCAGCACCCTCCCCTACCATGTGTGCATTATGGGCAACCTGATCCTTTCCTGCTGTGCTGTCCTCCCCTCAGAAGCAGGGGTAGGAACCAGAAGCCAAAGGAGGAAGAGAGGATCCAGTCAAAGTCCCCAGCCACCACCACTGTGAGAGCAATGGGTAGAGTTGTGGTTGGGCGGGAGCCTGCAGGCCACATGTCAACTCCTCTCCAGTTGGACAGCCCTGATCTGATGCATGTTATTTAGATAATATGCTGTGTTTTAAGATTACATCTTTTTCAAAAGTCATTTTCGTCTGAGTTCTGGCTTTCCATCGGCATTGACCCTGTGCTTATGAAATGCATGAATGTAATCTTTTTTATATTAGATGAAGGCTAGTGAGCTATTTTGTTTATGGTGGACTTCTTGGCAGTTTTTGAAACAATCATGGGGGGGAGGGTAGTTTTAGGTAGCTAGGAAATATTGCTAGGACTGGGTTGGCTCTTTGGTAGTTCTGGTCCTGCTTGAAAGATCAGGGTCAAAATGTGATAGTAGATAATTACTCCTATTCCCCGAGGTATCTGAAGTCCAGTTTGTTGCCCATGTTGCTTGAGGGGTATATTGCTGTCGGCAATCTCATGATTCTCAGTTATGCATTTTGTGCTACATGGACCCTGTGGGTTTAGCCTTGGTTCTGTAGGAATGCCTGACTCATATTGCCGGGTGAATTGGATTAAAGCTGCCTCGTCCATAGTCCCAGAAAGATGGAAGAGGCTTCACATAGTAGGTATATTTCACAAGATGATCTGTTTTTCCTTTGAGACATCTCAGATTGATGGTATGCAGTTGAATGTTGAAAGTCAGCTGGCATTATTTTTGACCATGCCAGATGTAACTTAGAAATGCAGTTTTCAGCAATGCAGTTGCTCTAGGATTATGCCTTTATATATATATATACAGGCATAATATATATATATTTATTAACAACCTGGTAACAGCAATGAATGCTATTATGACCTTGAGACCCAATTATTGAAATTCCCTTTTTTGCTGGGGTATCAGTTAGGATGATCAGCTGTTTGCAACTTCCTCAGATTGCTTGCTCATGGGCTTAAGCCAGGCTTGTCCAACATACAGCCTGCGGGCTGCCATGCGGCCCACCAAGCCATTTTCTGAGGCCCGAGGTGCTGCAACAGGAAACGACAGTAAATACTGTCCTTCAGTAGCTTCCTAATGGTGGGGGGTGTCCTTTGGCTGGCCCACTGGGTGATAAAAAGTTCATGATCCGGCCCCACATTCGAAAAGGTTGGAAATCCTTGGCTTAAACAGTCCTGGTCATATCCAGCTTTACTTTGCATTCTTCACATTGTCTGCTAGTAAAGTGGTGGGATCAGCTAAAATTGACCTGATTGGTGCAAAAATCTCTGAATGAGGCTGGGAATTAGTTATATCCAAGACTTTATTTTTCCATCCCTAAGTTTTTGTACTCTCACACGCTGCTTTAGGGGTTCCACCCACATGCCTGAAGTCAGTAGGCAACTGAGTTTTTGCTGTGTTTTCATAGGGGTTGCTTTAGAAATAATACTATTGCTGCTGCCGCTGAGAGTACTCCTGTCAAAGTCAGTGGGGCTACTCTCACTACTAGGCACCTTGCCCACTGGTAAGAGTTCATAAGATTGGGCCGTGTGTAGCATAGCACAAGTGCTGAAGCACTGTACTATAGTTTTGACAATAGATCAAAATGGAAGTAAAGACTACTTCTCACTTTCCCATTTTCCTTTCTTAGTCACCTGTTTCAGAACATCTTGTCTAAGTCCTAGATTGCAAAATCTCTGGGGCATGGATTGCATTTTTATTAGTAGCTTGTACAGTAGTAACTTTTTTTAGTCCCTATGTAGATTCCTTAAGTGCCATAACATTAAAAATAATAATAATTGTTTTTAAAAAGCCATGAAGAAAGTGTTTGTTTCAGGTCAGTGTGAAGTCTGTGTAAAACTGGGGGTTTTCAGGCTGCATATTCAGGTACATTCTACAAATCTAATTCTGGCAGATTGCAGAAATGGAAACAGCAGAAAAGACCAAACCTTTGCAGGATTCTGGGTGACATGTACTCTGCATCTCAATAAAGGAAACTGAATGTGCTCGTTACCTCTAGCCAACTGGCAAATCATCTCCTGTGAAGTTGCCTGGCCAGAGATAAAATATCAAACAAAATATGTAAGAGTTTTTACAAGCCACCTCACTGTGGGTTACTTTTAGCTGACAGTTTATAAACAGAGATCAGGAGAGAAAATTGCAAATATACTATCAACTCTGAAAGATGCCTGCAGTCTTTCAGCCCAGTAAAGCTGTTAATATAATTAAAACCTCTCAAAAGTCTGGTCTCTTTATTCACAGAGCAGCCTCGTACTGAGTCGGAGTGGGAGAACAGCTTCACTTTGAAAATGTTTCTTTTCCAGTTTGTCAATCTGAACAGTTCTACCTTTTATATAGCATTCTTCCTCGGAAGGTAAGAACTAACACTGGTTAGCTCTTTGTGCTTGGAGCAAAGAGGAAATATGATATTGCCATTAATAAAACAAAATGGGGACATGTGATCATACTTGGCCAAATGCAAAGTCCATCTTCATAAAGCAGAAAAATGTTAAATTTAGATTTTCTTTTTAAAAGGTTAGAAACAGAATATTCAGTTCATCCCATAACATCACATTCTGTTAATGCTACCTCCTAAAAATTCCACTGCAGAGATGGATATATTTTCCTGATAAGCTATTTGCAGGTCACTTTGCCCTGGTTTTTATTTGTATAATGTTTACAGATAAGAGAAAAACCTAATATGTTATCCTTGCTTTTCTATTCCCTGAATAATATATAACTTTTGCTTCACTTGATCTGCAATTTGGCCAGTTTTCAGCAAATCAAAAACTAGTGTAAGTGATGGCATTTGTTTTTTCTGCACACAATAAGGGAAATGTTTGCATGGCTCCTGTTTGTTTTCCATACAAAACGGATAGGGATCTGAGTAGATATGGATTATCCATTAGTATGAGTTGTTTACATCCAGAAATTTGCAGGAAGGTATGGTAGGACTTCATGAAAAATGTGCTCTCCTGGTAAAAACTTATGTTGTCACGGGATTCCCAAGAAGCGTGATGCCAAACAGAAGCATAACTAGACAGTCCTGTGTCCTGGGTAGCAGTAGTGCATGGGGCAATGGCTGCAACCAGGCTGCTGGCAACATCAGTGTGGCCAGGTCAGCAGTAGTGTTGGCTGCATTTTTTGAGCTCCTGCCTAAGTCAGCATCTGGGGCTGATGCTTTGGTCACCCTTCCCTGTCCCCCTGGCCCCTTCCTTATTTATGCTACTGATGAAATTTGTCACTTGAGTGTAAGGGAGTGGACCAGGCAGTGGTTTGTATCTCATGCTGTCTTTCCAGACAGGAATAATGCTTTCAGGAGCTTCTGAACCCTAATTTTACTCAGTTTTGGTATTTTGCTTTCTCTAGATGCTGATTGTCAACAGAATATCATGTGTTAGAAAATCAACAACTACATAAAACTACAGTGAAAATTTGCTTGGCTTTTAATATGTATTGTGTTCAGAATCTTTCACATCTTTCTGCATAATGACTTCTTTGATACTTAAATAAACCCTATTTGGGGACAATAGAGTTAAAATGGCTCTGCTGAACTCTTTTTCTAATATGGTGAGTGCAGACCATATGTAAAATAGCTGATACGTGCTTTTCTATTGAAGATTCACAGGACACCCTGGTGCCTACTTGAGGCTGATAAACAAGTGGAGACTGGAAGAGGTGAGTATTTTATAACTATTATACTGTTCGGAGCAAATTAATTGATGCAGCACCTCTCTCACATGACCGAATAGCAAGGGCAGACTCTGAGTAATTTGAATATATTCCTCGGTTCCCATTTGCTCTTTAACTCAAACCCATGGGTACAATTCCTAAACACCTGATTCAAAAACATTTCCATGTTGACAATAGTAGCTTTTTTAATGCTCAGCTATTAGATTCTTTTATTATATTTGGCTGACAGTAACAAGTAGCCTAGGTTGGATTTTTTTTAATTAAAAGAATGATGATATCCTTGTGAACCAAATTCAGATATGAATTTTGTGATTTTCTCATTCTAATCTCTTTATAATCAGATTTTGTAGTCTTCGTGGTTAGGGTCCTCAAATTTTAGAATGAACAAATCAATTTGAAAATCACACAAAACAATTAAATGAGCTTTCCCAATTGGTCTGATAGAATGGCATTTAACAGTTATAACATCTGAAGAATTGGATGAGCAATAAAATGTTCGTTTCAGAAATTGCTCAGGTGTCAGTCATGTTCTTGCAAATCTATCCATCATTCAAAACCAGCTGACAAATATTGTAAATAAGCAATTGGCAGCCTCTGCATGACTCACAAAGCATGTAATGTTGATATTTGGATACTGAAGTCCAATGGTTTTGTTCCTGTTTTTGGACTGAGTTTCCAAAACGTTTTCACTAATGATTGAGCAGCAAACAGAGAATGATGAGTTGCATGCTGCCAGAAAGCACTGATGCTTCCTTATTCATAATCCTTGCATAAGTACTAAAGAGGGCTTCTAAATATTTGTGGCTAGTAAATATCAAAATCAGCATAGAATGCCCTTAGCCCTGCTTTAGTTAATAGCCTGGTGAGTTGGGCATTACCCTCTGAAATAGGAGATGCAGGTTCAAATCCCCTCAGGCTAAAGTGGGCTTAGAATCCAGGTATCCCATTTTCTGAGCAAGTGCCTTAAGCCATGTGTAGATGAAACAAGAGGCATGTGTGCACAACACTTTAAAGTGGGTTAAATGCTTTTGCACCATTTTAATGGTGTTGGTGTTTGCACGCGTTCGTGGCGTGTTGCGCAGTAATTTCAGCTGCTGTAGCAAATTTGGTGGCATAATGTGCCTTAAATGACTTGGGGTGCAGCAAACTAAAACTCTGAGGAGTTTTAGTTTGCTGCTCCTACAGCCACAGAGCAAAGGGGCTCTGCAGGAAGCCCAGCAGGCAGCCTGGCAGCAGCCCAGAAAGGCAAGCTGCGCCTGAGAAAAAAAAAATTCAGTAAGCCTGTTTTTTTTTTTTTTCTCCCCCCGCTGGAGCCTGCCTGCCTGCATGAGCTGCACAGGGACCCAGTGCTTCCCTCCATGGCTGCAGTGTCCCCCAGGACCACCCAAGCCAGGTGCCTGTGAGTGGGGGCCACCTGAGGTGGGGGGGCCACCACTGCTGCAGAGGGAAGCACCAGCCACCCCCCTGCAACCTAGGGAGCACTCTGCCTGCCAGCAGCTTGTCCTCCCCTCCCCTCCCCTCCCCACTGCTGGAGAGGCAGGTAAATCCAGGTGTGTGCATGACACAGGGGTTTAAACCCGCCACTTCAATTTAGGACCCCTCCTTTGTCATACACCCTTAACTATTAGCTAATATGGGTAAAAGGTGGGCCACCACCACCTTATGCTGAAATCAATGCTGCCTCCTCTCAGGTTAGACACCTTGTTAGACATCCACTCTGAGTGAACTGGATACCAGTAGGATGCCTCCACTCTTAATGAGTCCTCTTAATGAGTCTGATCAAGCTGGCTGGGAATGTGTAAAGCTGCCCATAACTCTGTTCATTATGGCTGCAGACAGAAGTGCTGCTCCCAGCTGTAACTCAGGATGTTTTTTGCAAAGTGCTCTGAGTTACAGCATTACCCCAGACCAAACAGAAGTTCACTGCTGGTTCCAGGGGGAAGGGGAATCTAGCTGGGGCTGGGAGCCTGCAGCCAGGTTCCCATAGCAATGGCCACAGCTCTCTGCCGGGGGGAAAGGCAGCAGAGGGAGCTCATTCTTGGGGCTCTCCAGGCAGTGCTGAAGGATGGAGTGGGTGAATTGGAGCCCCTTCACCTCCAAGGACTATAGAAAATTTTGCTCCAAGGAGGGGGGGGCTCCAAAGAGGGAGTACTCCAGTTCACCTACCCCACCCCAAAAACCCCAGACATAACTCCCTCCACTCCCTTTCCTGCCTCCCATTCTGAAAACAGCCACAGGCTGGAGGCTGCACACACGTTACAGAAGATGCTACTTTTTTAAATGTCTGTATCAGATACCTCATGCAGTGAGGAGTCAGATTTTCACCCAATTGGCCATTTTTTAAGCTGTTTGCAGCCATGCATTTGTGTTTGGTCACAGCTATAAACTGCTTTCTGTGGCTAAATAAGGCAAACATTGTCACTTCTGTCTGCACCCTGAGAGAATGGGGAGCATATGTGCATCTCCTGCAGGAGAATATGATTGCCTCATAAAGCACACTAGGCTGCCCATTGAGAAACAGGAGACTTGGGTGTCTTAGAGTTGGAAGGAAATTTCTTTCCTGAGTCTTAAGGTGTAGGTTTGAGGTCTAAGATCCATAGCCAGATTCCTACTTATCCCAAAGCTAAATTAATGTCTGACTGACCCTGTCAAAATAGAAAGATGGTGTTACACCAAATGAAAGATTATCTGTTTTCTGTAGCTCATTGACCTAAAGACAGGTTAAAATTAAGTCAATAGAGAAAAAAATCTGTAGCAGAATCTCAAATTTTTGTACACTGAAAAACAATTCACATCCTAAATTCACTACACATGTTGTTGCATTTCACCACTATTCTCAAGCTTTTTTTTTCTTTTTTTCAATGTCTACCTTTGTAACAATTACTATTCTAGCCTGTTCGTAATGCACAATATTCAGTAACATGGCTTTGATTGCATGGTTTGGCTCAGGATGGTCGATGATGTAAAAGGTCAGTGGGTAGTTAGGAAGCAATGCTAATCAGTGTGATGAGATTTATGCCATTTTACTTTGTATAAGAACTGATTACAGCCAGTCAGTTTACACCAGTTTACACCAGGTAGTTGAACATCCGGCCCAGTCCAGATTTAAGTGATTTCAAAATTAGGGTGCACAGGAAGAGAAATGGAGAAGCAGGAATTTGCTCAGTGTTTTAAGTATCTCCTAATGATCGCGTTTCTTGATGTTAAACTGTGTGGCAAATATGGGAAATATGTAAGGTAAATATGCCCTAACTATGAAATATTAGGCAGAATCTTTCTCCTCATCCTATAGACCAGGGATGAGCCACCTGCAGCACACATACCCCAAGTGGCACAGTTAGCCTCCATGGGCGCATCCACACATGCAAGCATGTACGCTTGCAGCAACTCAAATAGAAGTGGTGTAAATTTGAGCTGGGGCTTTTTGCCCCAGCACACATGCTTGGACATGTACTTCGTTGAGGAGCAAATTGTGCCACTTGGGGCAAAATAACTCTGCCTGGCTCCTCCCAGATCTGCAGCCAGGGGGAGCTAGAACCCAGGGCGAGTACCTGTGCTTTCCCCAGAAATATAAAAAGCTGCCCTGTCCTGGCCCCAGCAGTACAAAAAGCTGCCCTGGCAAATAACTTAGGGCTACTTGCCCTCAGGAGCTTCTGGGGCCCAGCCAATTGGTACCTGAGGACACTACCCCTCATGCCAGCTGAACTGCTGAAGCAGCCCGGAGAGTTCCCTGCACCCTCTACTCACTGCAGCAGTCTGGCAGTGGGGGCAGCTGCCTGGCTGTGACCTGCAGCACACCTGCCAGACCAGGACGAGGCATCTGCCCCTCTGGGCCAGCTGCCAGTGGGTTGTGGCTGCAGGGTTGGCCTCTGTGTGGCACTACTGCCATGTGTGCCCCCTGCCTGGCCACCTGGGCAACTATCATCCGGAAGATGTGCTGGGTGTGGTGGCCTGCTTTGTACTGTCAAAGCATGTCCTCCTGGCCCCATTTGGCCAGGAGGTCAGCCACAGCCAGCTGGGTCCAAGGTGCCAGCTCTGAGCAGGCAGGGTCCTGCCACTGGCCTCCCTAGCAGGAATTCTGGTGTTCTCTATTGGAAAACTGAAAAATCCCTGATAAAAAAAATCCCAAAGTCACTCTGTAAAATACCCCAAAAACCATGTTCCTCCACAATTAAAACAAAAGACCACTATAAAGAGAGAGAGTGAGAGACAGAGAGACAGTGATCAGCTGGGCAATGTTTTATTGATATATCTACAGTGTTAAAGCACTGGCTGTTGGAGGGCTATGGCCACACAGGGGTTACGGCTCCCTAACAGGTGCCAAATGGCCCCCACAAGGGCTACCACCCCCCCTCCAAGGCCCACATGCCCCAACCCAGCCCCCAACTGCTGCCCTACCTGGTCCCGCCAGCTGCTGCAGCCCACCAAATGGCTGCCCCAGCTCCACCCCCTCACTCCCCCAGACTCCCCAGTGGCTTTCCTGCATGGCCGCACCCCCCCCTTGCACCCCTAGGCCCCTATGGCTGCCCCCCCAACCTCAGGCACCAGCACTTTAAAAAA